TGACGGAGATGACGCCAGCGTCGGATTAGAGGAAGACGACATCGTTGGAGAAGATAACAGAGGCCCTTAGAATGTCAACTAGCAGCGGCATCGGAAGCGTAGCGACGTCGGAATCGAGGAGTGGGAACCGGGGCGACAACGACGAGGAGGTGGAAGCTGAGCAACGAGGGTGAGGAGGAGGATCTGGCTGGAGGAGGAAAGGAGGGTTGTTTTTGGTTCAGTGAAGAAAGAAAAGATTGGGACTTGGGATTGGGAGGGATCAGACGTACGAAGATGATGGGGACAGAGATAAAGAGTAAAGTAAGAAAGCGAGTTTTTGGGGAGGGATATTTGACATTTGAATTATAATTTGGGGGAGGGATTGAGCGGGCCAGGAGAGATCAGAGGGAAAATTGGCGCCTCTCAAAAATTGGAAACTTTGAGGTTGGAGCTAGTAATATGCTATAGGTGCAAATTTTAATATGTTGTATATACAATAGTTTTAGTGGCAGCTAGTAATACCTATAGAGGCAATTGTATATTTGTTGTCTATGAAGAACTTTTAGAGGCATATAATTGTAGTTACAGAGGCAGATTTTATATATGTTGTATATAATGAATCTTTAGAGGCAGTTATAATATTTGCCTCAATATTTAGCCACTATAGGTAGGTTTTGTTGTAGTGATACTTGCAATATATATCCTAAGCAATTATCTCCGGATCCTAATTAATATTCCAAGTGGGCATAAGAATTAACCCATTACAATAAAGTTACCATGCCGCAACATAAGAGACAATTGTTGTACCTAAATATCACAATGGTGATTATTTTTTGTCTCAACATATATATTATAAGAGACGGCTCGTTGTCCTTCAATAAAATTTTTAGAGACGATTTGTAGACTCCAGTTTGATCCATATCGGAATGACATATCGACCCTATAAATAGAATTGAGGGATAATTATATTGACAAGAAAAAGCTCTTTATTGGAGATGATGTTGTTTCAAAATGAAAAGCTATTTGATGGATTAGAAAAAGAAGTTCAAACGATATAGTGTCGGGTGTATACTGAAGAATCTCTCATGGTTCGGATGGTTTCGATGCGAGTTTTTATCAATTGCAATTTTTTGGATCCTATTTTTAAGAAGATAGTTACTTACTATATATTCGAAAATGAGTTTTTACATGAGGAATGGAGTCACATTCACACCTCGAATATAGTTAGAAAATCAACTCATTCATAATAGTTCGGAACGATTAAGTGATTCATCTTTCATTGTTAAAAAAATCATAATACGATTAATTTCGTTCAACGCAAATTTTCTAATCGAAAAAACTCCTCTGGACGAGACAAATTAAATTAACAAGTGCCATTTATATTTCGTAACAAACTCCACGCAAAGCGTCCTTACGGTTACGACTTCTCCCTAGCTCCTCTTTTGTGATTTTGTCGTCATTAATTAATTTCCCAGTCCATTTATTTCTTCTTCAGATATTCAAAACAAACTCCAGAAACTTATGCATGCATGGCGGACACATGTACGTCAAACTCAAGTTCTTGGATCTTCTGTTGACTTAAATTCCCTTGCGTGGGGCCCCCGCAGCCAGAACAGCGTATCCTGATGTCAGTTGTCGCTAGTGACCAACCCCATGCATGCGTTTCTTCTCTTCTTTTTTGACAAAGTGGTCATTATCAAAGTTTGCACCAAACTAATACATGAACAACAATTGTATCATTACTCGATTTTGTTCCTTTCTGGTTGAGTTAATTGGAGAGTAAGAATTAGTAAATTGTATATGAAAAACTTGAGTGATTGTGATCAACTGGTTTTTTACATGGTATCAGAGTGTTCTATAACCGAGAGATTTTTAGTTCACATGGTATTTGAATCGCTCAAACTTCAAGGTCATATGATTCGGCTTTCGTTTAAGGAGGTGTGTTAGTAAATAGTATATGATTCGTATTTGAACTTCTCCAGATCTGTGCAAACTCCAACCCCATATGAGTCGGCTTTCGATTGAGGGAGGAGGTCGTGAGTTACTATCTCCTAATAACTTGAGTTATTGAGACCAATTGTTTCTTGACACATAGAACATGAATGCCAAAATACTCTATGAATCTAATTAAATTCAAGTTGTTTTAGTTGAGAAAATTCAATTAACCTTATTTTTGGGTGGGAATTCCCGAACTTAACAAGCATGATGATAGATTTGGTGTTGTTTTGGTATATTAGAGGGGCTTATTTTGAGCCTATTAGTAAGGCTTATTTTGATGATTTTATAAAACTTATTAGAATTGGTCTTTTGGTTTATAAAAAACTTTTGGTACAAATTGAATTTGTACTTTTAACATTGTGGTACATATCCAGTGTACAAATTTTTTTATGATGCAAACCGAATTTGTGCATATATGTTATGCTACAAACTGATATTGTATCATAACATAAAGGACTAAATTTCTTTATACTAGAATTTAAACTTGTACCTTTAATGTTATGGTACAAGTTCAAATTGTACGGTAAAACACAAGAGAAAGTATAAGTGCTAATTTAAAATATATGAATAGACTCATCTCAATACATGCTACAACTAGGTTCTAAACTGAGTCCAAGTTTTGTTCATTCTCATTCACTTTACAAACAATTCCTTCAATAAATTTCAATTAACATCTACATTGTAAGAAAAAATTTAATTATTTTAAGAACTTCATATATGATTTTCCGGTGGATTTTTCCCGAACAACATTTGGAAGATTTTAGTATGTCATATATTACATTCTTGCCAACTTTTAGTTACAAGGTTGGAGGCTATGGTAAAATCTTGGTTTGAAGACGGGCCAACCGAACCCGTTACCAGCGAAAGAAGGTTGAATTCACGTGGCTGGTTGGAACTTGTGCGTCCAACCAAGGTTGGAGCTAAGAATTTTCCTCACCTTAGTAGGAGCAGAAGAGCGCCCCACCAATTTCCTTGGAGCTCGTTTGTTATGCTCAGATGTACTATAATTATATAGCAAAGGAAAAAGATATTGTGTGTCTCATCGGTCAGACATTCAATGATTGAACACATACCTTCGTCCAATCTAACGGTAGAGCGCACGTCTGCACGTGAAGAGGTGAAGGGGCTCTGACCTTATCCGAACTCGTCGCGTTCATTAATTTTGTTGTTTTCTTATTAAATTTGTTTCCCGTTAATTAATCAACAAAAACGGCAAATCTTTAACTATTGTATAATGTTTTTTTGCATATTACCTTACCTTACATAACGGTCAACTACTACTATATATATCGGCGCCACCCGACATCCTTATCAATTAGTTGCCTTCAGACGATTGTTTATATATTCCAACGCTGAGCGCACCTGACAACAACAGTGAGCAGACATGACGATTTCACCGTACTATTTCAACCCCAACATTTTTCCGCGCTCGCCGTATAGGTACTCTTCTTAAAACTGAGATCTTGAAAGTAAATCCCGAAAAAAATTTAACTTTTCCAGTGAAAAGTTGAAGGGGGAGGTGGGATTTGGTACAAACAACCAAAAACCCAAAAAAAAAAAAAAACAGACATTCAATGCTTCTTGCTGAAAACTCCAAGGCCTTTCTTCTCCTATATATATGTGTGTAATTGTGTGTGTTTAAAAACCGTGGGAGCTATTTGACACAAAGAAAAGTGTTAGTAGCCCTAATACCCTACTGTCGCCGGCAGTGGCTTTGGGCTTGGTTTTACTCCTTTTTTTCCTCCCCTTTACTCACTAAGAAAAGACATCGTTTAATTTTCCGCAATATTTTCAACTTTGCCGTTTTTTCTCTTCCGATCATGTCAAACCCGCCGCCGTCTCCGCAACCAACGGGCAGTTTCCCGTTCGCAGCCTCCATATTCTCGGATGGCGGCTCATCATCATCATCATCATCATCAGCCGGACGTAGGGCCGAAACGCTGTCGTATGCCCGTCGCTTGATTGACGCCCTCCATAACCCTGAAACCAGAGAGCGTGCTCTCTCCCTCCTTGCCAAGGTACAAAACTTCAAATTCTACTTACTTCTTTTCCCTACTGATCCGTTGCTCATCTCTCTTTTTTTTTTTTTTTATTCCCTCCTTTTTACTGTTTGGTTGCTGAAAAAATTCGAGCCGGAGTCGAAGAGATTTTTTTCTTTTTTCCATCGTGTTCTAGGGAGAAAAAGGTGTGACATCTAATGGGTTTTTTGTGTTTCTTCAACAATCTTTGGTAAAATTTTAAGAATGCTATATGATGTTCTTCCTAAAGGTGCCCTCGATGCTTCTATGGGGGGATCATAAGTGATTTGGTTGGTAGATGATTGGGTAACACAATTCCAAATTAAATGATTATGTTTTGGATGGTGCAATATCTATTGTTTGGTTGATTCTTATATGTCGGGGTTGATTGGCGCACTTGTGTTGGTTGTTTGCATTCAATTGTTCGAAAGGGCCGCATTTTCTATGCAAAGTCCAAATGATTATAACGATGTCGTTGGTGGTGTGTAGTTTTGAAATCGTAGATTACGATTATCTGTTAGAGATTTTATTGTTTCTTGTAAGAGTATAGTACCACGTTGTATCGGTGAGTTATCTTGTTAAAAAGTCTAATATATATGATGTTATAGCAATTTTAAATTTCAAAGGGACCTAAATCGATTGTCTTCCTTTAAGCGTTATTATCGATCATTTGCTTTTTATTGGTGTATATGAACATGTTTTAACGATTCATATTCAATTGCTCAACAAATATGATTTTTTTATGAAATCTTCAAATTATTAGGAAGTCAATGTCATGGATTTATAGATGGGACCCCAAAAGATTATATAACGATTTCTTTTTGCAAAAGTCTATTGATTTTTATACGAGTATGTTGACACGTTGTGCTAGTCGATTCTAAAAGAGCTTCTGATTCTCTAGAAAGATAAATAAGTCATTTTTTATTATATAGTTGTTTAAAGCCAAATGAGAATATCACGATAACCATAAACCAACATTTTAATGTCACATTTTGTTTACTCTGTCTGTCATTGCTTAAGCTTCAAAGCAAAGCAGTTCGTGAAGAGTTGGCACCACTGTTGTGGCACTCTTTTGGTGCTGTCACCATACTTCTTCAGGTGAGTTCTTGGTAGAGTACACATATTTATATCCTTCAATCCTTTCATAATGTTAGATTTTATGTGTTGAACCAAAATCATGAAGCTTTCCTCTTCTTGTTCCCAGGAAGTAATTTCAGTGTACCGCTTCATGCCTAACAACCTTACAGAAAAACAATCAAATCGTGTCTGCAATGCCCTTGCTTTGTTTCAGGTTTGCTAATCATTAATTTTGATTATTATGAAAATGTATTAGAAATAGGAATTCTGAGATTAGCAAGTTAAAGTTTGAATAACAACGATTGATGCAGGGTATGGCTGCGCATCCTGATACAAAGCATTTGCTTATGAAAGGTAATTGTGATTATCACATTCTTAATCATAGTAAGCACTGTTATGTTCTGTTTTTTGTTCTTCAAATAATTACTCCTTTCGTTACTCCAAGTGGTTTTACTTAGTTAACATGGAAGCTTCCACTGTAATTGTGACAGTTTACTTAATTCTAATCACTTGCATTTGCAGCTAACATACCCATGTATCTCTACCCATTCCTTGATAGCACAAACAAAGAGAAACCTCATGAGTTCTTGAGGCTTACTAGCTTGGGAGTTATTGGTGCCCTTGTCAAGGTACCTTCCTAGCTAGTAAACGACCCATAAATCCATCAGCTAAACGAACCGGCTAACAATTTGCCTTGAGTTCCTCATTGTTGCAGGTTGATGATCCAGTTACTACAAGGTTCCTGCTGGAATCTCAAGTCTTCCCCTGCTGCCTACGCAGCATGGAGTTTGCGGATCATCTGCTGTCGAAAACTGTGGCAACCTTCATAGTTCACAGGCTCATACTGAATGACGAAGGGCTGAGGTACTGCTGTGCTTTAGCAGACCGGTTCTTTGCAGTGAGCCATCAGCTGGCCAAAATGGTGGAACAGCTTGCCAATAGCAACGAAATGATGCTCGGTGGGGATACTCCGAAACGCCTTCTCAAGCACATCATCTGGTGTTACCAGAGGCTCTCTGAAAGCCCAAGGTCTAGTAGTAGTTTGAAATCATTTCAGTTAAGAACAATTGTCGTTGAGATATTCAGTTAACATGATCCTTCGGACTCTGCATTTTTAATGTGTTTCTGATGTGAAAATTCGGGTTATGCAGGGCGTGCAATGGACTTAGAACATGGCTTCCTCTCAGATTAAGAGACGCTGCATTCATCAGCATCATTCAAGTAAAGTTACTTTCTAAATCATGGCAACAAAAATTTCATTGCTCAATGAGAAAATGAGAATGGATCATTTGTTTGTTCTTCGTAGGATGACGTTACTGCAATGCAGTGCCTGCAGAGGCTGTTCAATAACCTTGCTGCGAGGAATGTGTCTCCACCCCCGGCCATTGATAACTTGCTTACCCGGTTGGTCCGCCATTAGAGACATAATACAAGATCATACAATACAGGGTGTAAGGCTACATATAGTTGTACTGGGGACTTGTCTCAGTCAAGAACTCTAAATGTTGTAGAATGTTTTCTTTCTTTGAACTAAATGTTGTAGAATGTTGTAATCTTTCTGTTCGATTACCCTTTCTGGGTGAACTTCATGTTGAACTTGCTTTGGGTTGAGTTTTGTTGTTATAATCGCAAAAAAGATTCAGACTTGTGTTGAGAATATGAACAGAATTTGAGGGTTAACTCATAACAGAGAAAATCTCGTACAAAATCACGCAATGAGGGGAAGGTATTAAGAAAACAAAAACACCCTGCCTCTTCAATGGAATCAAGAATATATTATGACACACTAGAGCTAGAATACAGAGAACCAGAGATAACACTAAGAGGAACTTAATTCCTTTTGTGGTACGGAAAGATCATTATCCAGCATAAATGAGAGATCATGCATCTGTGACATATATTTCTCCACCACTTCAGATTTGGATTTCGGGTTTTCACTAGAAACAACATCTGCTCCAGCTGTTACGACTTCTTTGACTGCTTCAGTGCTATCCCCGTTTCTTGCACTTCCAATGTCAATCCTGTACAGAACAACAAAAATATGACCACAGGTTCATAAATTACGTTCCAGTAGGGGTTTTTTTTTTATTCAACCGAAAGCCGGATATAGCAGAATCTTCCAATACCTCTCTGATACTACACTTTCAGGCCACATAATATCCACCTCCTTGGAATCCTTTTCATTTTTAGAAATTCCTGAGAACAGTTCAGCTTGTGGAAAGCCACCGAAATCAACATTCTGTGATTTCTCACATTCACCAAACAAGTCTATATCCGAAGTCAGAGTGAGAGTAACTTCTTGTTTTAAAGAGCTGCCAGTTATTGGTTGGACACCAGATGAGCTTGTGAAACCATTCCAGGCATCAAAGTAATCGTCTCCCTCATCAACTGTCTTTGTGTTGTTAGTGGTGGCTTTTGGTAATTGGTCAGCTTTGATGAAATCCAAATTGAGCGAAGGAAAACCATCTGTTTCATCCCTTGTGTCCCCATCCTTAACACCAATAGGGACATTCGACTGGTGGTTTTCAGTTTGCCTGGCAGCTCCTGAGTTGGAATTACTCCACAAATCGTCTGGAAACCAATCATCATTTATTTTAGATGCTGAAGGAGTTAAACTTTCATTTGCTGGTGTCTCAGACATTTCAATTCCACCCCCAAATACCGAATCTAAGTGAGCAGATATATCGACCGATGAAGAACCTCCAAAAGGATCGAACGATTTCGACTCCTGAGTCGTAGAATCATCAGCAGACTGAAACTCAGTTTCCCAGCTAGCAAATAATTCATCACCTCCACCATCTTCAACTTTGTTGTCAATACGAGATGGCTCAGCACTCTCAAACAAGCTTAGATCAATAGGACCTTGAGAAGAATTCTCAAAACTAGGGAATGGTCTGCTCGACATAAACTGATCTTCTGAAGCTGTAGAAGCCGGTTCTAACCTCGGCTCAGGGAAAAAATCCAGCTCGTCATCGTCTCTCCCCGACGCAGATAGCCCTTCAACCGATGCAGAAACTGATTCTCCAACCTCAGCCTCTCCGAAAAAGTTGAGGTCTTTAGGGAATCCAGAAACTGACTCTGCTACCTTAGGCTCGGGGGCAAAACTTTTGAGATCAAGTCCCTCGAAATCAAGAGTTCTCAATTTCTGACTTTGCGTCTTCTCCAATGCTGCTTTTCCCGTTGCCTTTCTCTCGGATTCCAAAGGCCAGTGTATTTCGAGATTCAATAGCTCGGTTAATGGAATCTCGGTTTCTAATGCATCTGATCGTCTGTTTCGTTGTTGTTGAATTTCGATGGATTGGGCTGAAAGTTCCTGCAGTGAGTGTTCCAACAACAGCATCAATCTCATATCACTTCCAGCTCTTTGTCCACAGCACTTCAGTTCCTTTCTCCATTATATTCACAGTTCTAACTCCACAAACAGAGAACTCATACTATGAAATGTACTGCTAAGATAATCACCCATTTATGTAGCTTAATCACATATTCACATGTTTAGGAAACACTAACCATAAGAGACTTTAAATCAACCAAACAAATCATGGCCTTCAACAATTGGATATGTAGAGAAAAATTCCCATCTTTCTCAGTAAACAAGCAGAAACCCCCAAAATCAAACCTAACCTAACCTATAAAAGGAGAAAACATAAAAGAAGAAATGAGCAATCGTTTAAAAAGAACACTAACCGATCCATCTAAGCCAAGGGACTGAAGAAGCCACTTAGAGGCAGAAGTGGCCATGAACTTGATTGGTTGAGGGGCAGCATCGTTGTTAACCTGTTCCCTACCGCAGAAAACGCAAATTATCGAGTTCTCGCCTCTGAGAAGTCTCCCCTTGCAATGCTTGCAACGAAGTTCCGGCGGCGAAGGGTCGAGCTCGGAGATCGAGTCTCCGGCGGATGGCAAATCGGCAGCTGAGTCGGTGTAGTCTTCGGGGTTGTAGAAGGAAAAATTGGAGTCTTGTCGGAGAGAGATTTGGAGGGAACGGATCTCATCGTAGGGAATCGATAAAGCTTCCATTGTTGGGGATTTGGGAGGAGATCTTCGGTTGATTATGGGGAGAGCAACTAAAACAGGGTGGCGCTTGGATCAGAAATGGCGAGCAGGGGGATGAAGAAAGCCGCTGTTCTGATTACCGAGTTTAAGATTCTATGAAACGGCGGCGTTATGGACTGCCATAACAACTAGGGATGGCAATGGGTCGGGTTGAGTCGGGTTTTGCCAAACCCAAACCCATGGGTTTATCCGTGAAAAAACCCTGGGGTAAAACACACTGGATTTGAAAAACTCAAACCCAACCCAACCCAACCCGCTGGTTATCTGCGGGTTCATGGGTACCCATGGGTTTTTGCCGTAAAAAATTTACAATCACAAGTTCCTATCAAAATAAAAGTCAAATGTCAATCTCTCAATACAAATTATCCATGTATAAAACACCATTCTAGGGAATTCAAGTAAATCACAAATTAACCATACAAATTGTTCAACGCCAATCTAGAAAACTCAAGAAAATTGAAGCATATCACAAATTATCGATAAACAACATGATTAATTGAAAGTTTCTTCCTCCTTGTCAATTAAACTTCTTCAGTCCCTTCGGGGACATCCGATGAGCTTCTTCACTCTCCACTCGATAATATCAAGTTCATTCTACACAATTAGACATATCATAAAGAATATTAGAATTCATAAAAAAAAAGAATATTAGTTGTTTAGAATATTAAATATATCGGGAAAATTAATTATATGGGTGTGGGCAGGTACCCATGGGGCGGGTTTACCTAAACTCAAATCCAACCTGGTGAATAGTGAACGGGTCTAAACCCGAACCCGGCCCAAAACCCGTCAACACGGGTTTTACCCGCATTGACTGGGTTGGGTTGAGTAGGGTACTCATGGGTTCGGGTTTTGTTGTCAGCCCTAATCACAACCCCTTCTTCCCATCATACCTCCTTTCTTCGAGAGTTACCAATTGTCCTAAAAAAATGAATTGATCGCCCCAACCTCAAGTAAAATTAAACTATTGCCCTCCTTATCTTTGTTGAATCGAGCATGGTGGCAACAACTGGGGAGATCATGTCGGACGTGTGGCCCGCCCGCCCCGCCCCGCCCTGTTGTCAGACCGGTGCTTATCGGTCCCAAACAATCGTCGCACATATGCTCTACCCGCTTCTCATGTTCGTCGAGCGAGTTGAAAACCCATCGCCAACGATGATCGGACATGTAAGGAACCCGTCTCAACCTCATCGATGACAGGTTTTCAACTCGTCCGACCGCTAAAACCCAACAAAAATTCACGGCCCGGGGATTCCGACCCGGTGGTGACCGACAGATGTCGTGGAGGTGGGCGGCCAGATCCCTTCTTCCACCTCAAACTGGGCGCCGCTGAGTTCCTTCTTCCTCTTCTTCATCCTCAAGCTGCGTCGGGGGTGGATTAGCCGGCACCAACAGAAATAGTAGGTGCAACGAGGTGGGTCGGGGTCGAGGATCGACTGTCTTGGGGTCGTAGAAGACAATGAGGTAGGCGTCTGGGGTGTCGGTGGGAATTCCAATAGGGTTTTTTGTTACAAATTAAGGGTAGGGCATAGGGGTAAAAGGGTCAGTTTGGTACATTTTGGTGCAAAAAATTTAAGAAGTAAGGGGTCAAATAGACGAGAGATACTATTCATCGCCCTAGAATTTTAAATTTTATCGCCCTAAATTTAAAAATAGACACATCTACCCCTATCTCTAATTTCTAACCTAAATCTCAAATGAAACAAAGGGGCGGCAGTTGTCTGGCTAGCGGATTCGAAGGTGGCCGACCTTTAAGGTAAACACACATTAGTATTACATGGGGTGCGATGGAATCTTTAATCATGATCATAGTGGTGGCTGATTGGTCCACGAGGGCGACAATGAAAATGACAGAATGGCGCCTAGTTTGGACGCAGTCATGGAAGGGAAGATCGACTGAGGTTTGAGAGACGATGATAGAACCTTCGACCAAGAAGAAGAAGTGGTGGAATTCGAAAATCAATGGCAAGGAAGGGTAGCCGTATTGAATTGGTGAGTAGTCGAGGTAAGCATCTAGGGACTGGGTTTAGTCGATTAGTTCTGGCTAGCCAGACCAGGAACCAGAGGGCAACGCAGCGGGGGAAGACAGAGGGCGCCGGCCCTGCGGGGGAAGACAGAAGGCGGAGGCGAATCGGAGCAGAGCGATGTGGCGAGATGGAGCATAGGGGGCAGGGCTATTGGGGAAGATAGAGGGCGTCGGCAAACTCGGTGAAGAGAGAGGGCAACGGTATTGTCGGGGAAAAAGAGGGTGGCGGCGAGCAGGAGTAGAGGACATAGGCGGCTGGTCGGGGAAGACAAAATATAATTAGGGCGTTAAATCTATTCCGGGCGTTTATTGTTGGGGAAAAATCGTCCATTCATTAT